TAGTGAGGCTGAGAAGTAGGAATACAGCCTTGCTGAAGAACACAGGCAGGGACACACTTGAGCTTTATCTAAAACTATTCCACGTAGGCTAAGTGCAAATTATGAAGCTGAGTTTTTGCATACACACCCAGGGTACCAGGAGCAGACCATGGAGTGACCCTTTAGCTCATTTCAGGAGAATATGATCTGATTTGACTCTGTATTTGTGTTCTGCCCTGCAAAGCAGCCATGTGGGACAGAACAGGGAAAGCACAGACATCCCTGGAGCACCTGGTGTTCGGCTTTGATCAGAGCTCACATCTACCCTGCTGTTCCCTGGCTGTTCCCTGACTGTTCCTTGGATGTTCCCTGGCTGTGTGCTGGCTGTGTGCACCTCTTCTCCACCAAAGGCACTCTGCTGGCACCTGGCATGACCACACTCCTGCTGTCTTGGTGGGGATTCGCTGGAATTTCCTTTGTTCACAATAGAACTTCTGCCTGTGGAAGATGGCAAGGATCATTCCTCTTCAGGTGGGTGAATTCTGCTTGTGCTCTGATGCCTTCCATCGAGCTCAGAAATTGATAGTGCTGGTCAAATGTGTTAACAGCCTTTATTTCCCAAAGACTTACCACATAAACTGTGTTTTTCCATTTTTTCCCTGCTTAAGCAGAGACCAACTGAGACACCATGATATGAGAGACTGTACACAGTCATTGTTCACAAATTACATGCAGTCAAGAAACACTAAGGATGGTCTCCACATCCCACAACTGGCACATTTTCAGGAAAACTTTACACTGATCAGCTTGCCCAAAGTGGAACTTGCTATTGAAAGAGTTATGCCACAAATTTCCAGTTTGCAATGGGACTTTCAGTTCCCTGTGCCTGAGCAAATCATCAGTTGTCAAAATATGTCTCAAAAATAACGAGCACCTAAACCTGCTTTTAGGTTTATCTGCTCTCTGCCAGCACTCAGCAAGGGGCTGTCTTATTAAGCATTGAAAGAGCTGTGTTCCACACTCCTCCTGACACACTGCTATTTAAGGCTCTGCCTAGCATTAATTTTTCTTTCTTGTTGGAATTACTTTCTTTTTTTAATTTGGTTTTTAGAACCAGAGCTATAAATCTGAAAAACATTTTACACGCTGTGTTAGGGCTTGATTGAAATCCCATTGAAATCAATGAAAGCTTTCCTACTGACTGCAGTGGGATTGGTGCTTGGGAAATCAGGAAGAAATGTCTTTTAAAATAAGAATTGCATCCATGTCATAATGTTTATTACCAGTGGCAGGAAATAAACCAAAACACGCACTTCTTTTCCCAACATGGCTCATATATCATTTAACTGCTACCTATATACACCCAGCTGGGACACAGAGTGCAGAAACATCTCTTCTGGGCTACCTAATAATTCTGCTTTATAAACACAAATTGATGAGAAAAACAAAATTCTCTTACCTGATTGATACAAATGGTCATATAAAATTGAAATTACACTAGAGGAAACTGCTCTGAGAACCTGGAAGGAAAAGCTTCTTTGTAGTCCCATTTCTGTGAAGTTCTGTGTAGAAAATATTTCTTTATATATTAAAGATTATAACAATATATATTATAATATATATTATAATATATTATATATATTATGTATTATATATGTGTATATATATTATTTTAAATAATATTTCTCACACTTTCCATGGACAGGTACTGTTAGGAAATTTTAATTTGTAGCAAAGCTTGTGGCTGTGACCTGGTTAACAAAAGTGGTGAGTCAAAAAGAAAAGAAAAAAAAAGAGATAAAAATTATGATGAAGATGTAAAAAACACTTGTGATACTTGTCTGGGTAATTACATGCAGATCCTGGAGACTGAAATGAAAGTGTGACATCTGCATGTTACTTTGTCATCAAAATTGCTGCAGTCTACTGATGAGCTAGTTACAACAGAGACAAGCCTTAAGTCTCCGGGGATGTTCCTGAGACGTGAGGATCCTCAGGTCTTGTCAGAATTGAATTTTTATGTGGTATTCTCAGCTAACAGCGAAAATAATTATAGTTATGGTATTTCAAAACCTAACTTTGCCAAGGCAGTATTTAAAGTCTGAGTTGAATTTTCACATGCTGACAAGGAAAAAAGGAAGCAGTGCAGAGCAGTCTCTGTGCAAAAACAAGTGCTGCTGCAGTGATGAGCCCTTTGATAGTGCCTTTATCAGCGTGCAGGCGTGTTTCGAATAGCATGAGCCACGGATGACTGTCGCAGCTTGCTCTGTGCCTTATGGGAGGCAAGAGAGGGCTCCTTGTTTGATTGGTAAGATGAGCTGCCTCGTTGCACAAGGTGATGGAGGAGAAATGCTTGTGAAGTATTTCCTAAGCTTTCTTGGATTCCTGCCACAAGGAAGTGCAGTGAGTGTAGTCACAGTGAGTGGAACGTTGTCAAAAGGAATTAGAAGGGCAAGGTACCTTTAAAGATTGTGGCAAAACCCCCAGCCAGCAAACCAAACTGAACCAAACCAAAGCAACCCAAACCAAAGCAACCCAAACCAACTCAAACCAACACAACCCAACCCAAACCAAATCAACCCAACCTGAACCAACCCAACCCAACCTACCCCAAACCAACATAACCCAACGCAAACCAACACAACCCAACCCAACCCAAAACAACTGATTCTAACCCAAACCATTCTAACCCAAACCAAACCAAACCAAACCAAACCAAACCAAACCAAACCCCAGCTCTTCAGTAAATTACAGAGATGGCAGCAGAAATAGGTGAGCATGAAAGAGAAAAGAAGACATTTTAGAACTGAAATCAACCCAACCTGAACCAACCCAACCCAACCTACCCCAAACCAACATAACCCAACGCAAACCAACACAACCCAACCCAACCCAAAACAACTGATTCTAACCCAAACCATTCTAACCCAAACCAAACCAAACCAAACCCCAGCTCTTCAGTAAATTACAGAGATGGCAGCAGAAATAGGTGAGCATGAAAGAGAAAAGAAGACATTTTAGAACTGAAAATGAAAAGCAGTATTTCTAGAACTGAAAAATGCTGTGTTTGTCCATTGCTCTTGGATGTTAGCATAAGCACTTTTGAAATTAGTAAAACAAAGATAAAACTCTGCTGATAAGAGTAAGTTTCTGATTCCTCCTCAGCTCGTTTTCAAACACTGGCAATCAGTTAGAGACCCACTGCTGACATCAGCAGGAGCAGATGAGTGGGAGGCTACAGTGGAGCTGGTCTGAGGGCTGAGAACACAAACATGCCTTCCTCGAAGCAGCAAAGATATGCAAACTCCATTTACTTTTCTTTGTGGTTATCAGAGTTGTGGTTATCAACACTTACCTACGCTGGAAATGGTTTGCTGCTTTAGCTTTCCAAGTTTAACATCCCTTACAAATGACTCTACTGATACCTGCATTACACTGCACATCCAAGTCACTAAACACAAATTGCAACAGAGTGAACAAAAACGTCCTGTCTGTTCTCTTTCCAGGTGTGGGGAAGGTGTGGATGGAAACAAACCAGCAGCCAGAGCAGGCCTGTGAATTTGCTGAAGCTGTAGTCTGAGTTCTATGCATGATGTGCCAAATTTTGGACTCCGAGACCAAATTGTGACTGGTTGGGGTTTACCAAGATGGAAAATGAAGGGAAATGTCTGCTGGTTTGAGCAGAGCATTGATGTTCAGGGTGTGATTTTACATCCAAGAAAAACATTCTCAGTTCAAAAATGTACAAAGCCCCCCTGTGCAATAGGGACAAACTGTTTTCATCACTTGCCTTTATCAAAGCAGCTTGGGATGGTTCCACACTGCTGTGAAATCAGTGACATCTTCTGCTTTTATAAAACAGAACAACTTTGTTTCATGCTAAAATAGAACCTGGTGTTTCTACTCGGAAAGAACATGATGTGCTTTTCACTTCTTATGAGTCGTTTTGGAAAGAAGGCAAGGCACCTTTGATCTTATCTACATTTTACACTTTTTTTTTGTTTTGTTTGCCAAGCAAGATCAAAAACCCACACAGTGAAAATCTATTTCTAGTAAAAACCCACTGCTCATTTCCATTCTTCCATCACAGTGCCCAGGTGAAAATTAAACCTAAAATAAGTGTACTTGAAGGCTACTAGGCAATATTATCACAGGATCATGGAATGTGGAGGAGTCGGAAGGGATCTTAAGGACCATCTAGTCCCAGCCCTGCTGCCATGGACAGGGACATCTTTCAACAGACCGGGCTGCTCAAGGCTCATCCAAAGTGTCCCTGGACACCGCCAGGGATGGGGAATCCATGACTTCTGCGGGCAACCTGTTCCAGTGTTTCACCACACTCACGGTAAAGAATTTATTCCTGACATCTGACCTAAATTTCCTCTCTTTCAATTTCTATCCATTACTCCTTGTACTTGTAACTACAGTTCTTGGCAAAGAGCATAATAAAAAAAACCACCTTTTTAATTGCTACATTGTTTATTGCAAGACAAACGGCCTTACACCTTATTTGAACAGGTTATTCCCGTCATTAACAGGAGAATGGAAGGGAGCAGCGCTGTGCAGGCACTTCGCAGCTCCCGGAACAGCTTGGGCTGGAAGGGACTTTAAAGATGGTTTGTTTCCAAGCCCTCCGAGGGCAGGGACAGCTCGCAGCGGCCCGGGCCGGTGCCGAGGAGCGGAGGCCGTGACCAGCGCCATCCCGGCCGCGCCCGCTCCCTTTTCCTGAGGCGGCCCCTCCGGCGGCCGCGCTCCCGCCAGGGGGCGCTGCGGGCACGGGGCCGCTCTCAGCGCTGGCCCTGCCGGAGCCTCCCCGCTCCAGGGAAACCCTGCCCGGCATCGGGGAACCGGGAGCAGCGAACCCCGGGCGCGGCCGCGGACGGGCGCCGCGCCTCTTTCCGCGCCCCGCCAGTCGCTCCTCCCCGCTTCGCAGGACTACATCCCCCATCATGCCCCGCGGCGGTGCCGCCCGGCGCGGCTGCTGCGTTCCGCCCGGCGCGAAGTGTCGCGGTGATGCCCCGCGGGGCCCGAGCACAACGGCGCGGGGCTGCGGGGCTGCGAGCCGGCCGCCGCCAGGGTGGGGGCGGCCGGGGCCATCGCCGCCATCAACATCAGCGCCTCGACCTCCAAGTTCCGTGAGTGACCCGGGTCTGGGCACGGGGGGGCCCCGCCGGCTGCGCCCAGCCCGCCGAGCCCGCTGCCCTCGGGGGCCGCGCTCGCCTCTCCCTGCCCCGACCTGGTTCTCGAAGCGAAGTCGCGCGGGTTAAGGCGCCTTGGAAGGCGAAAATAGCCTTTCCTCGCACACCTTGTGCTCTGCTGTCGCGGTGGATGTGGCTGGGGAGCTGGGAGGGTGAGCGTGGGCAGGGCTCTGGGCTGCTGCTGGCTCTGAAGCCTTTTACTCGGTCGGTGCTTCCAGAGTTTGTCTCTCAGCCTGAAAAAGCTGGAGATAAATTGGAAGCCTGTTAGGGATTGCTGGCGGCAGCTGTGGGCAGAGCCCCTGGAAGAGTCCTGCTGTCCAGGAAGGGATGAGTGTCTGCAAAGGTCTGGTGAGAACGGCAGAGCGTTAATTCACCCAATTTAGCCCCAAAAATAGCATCATAATATCAGCGAATGGTTTGGGTTGGAAGGGACCTTAAAGACCATATTGTTCCCTGCTTGAGCAGGGGTACCTTCCCCTAGACCAGGTTGGTCAGAGCTCCATCCATCCTGGCCTTGGGGGTTCTAAAATAGCTTTTGTGTGTAGCTTCTAACAAAAATAGCTTTTATTCCCCTTATTTTTTTCTTAGTTAAGACTGAGGGAATGGAAGATTTTTTGCTGTACGTTTCAGTTCTACTTTTTTTCCAAAAGTCACCTTTCTGGGCAAAATACACCCATTTTTTTTCTCATGGACTGTTGGAAAACTTGGATTTGTTTAGTTAAAAGCATTCCTGGAAGTGCAGCTGTGTGACTGCCACGATAACATTTACATGGGAAATGCACTTTGTGTGTCCTCCCTGCTTTCCCTAGTGCTCTCTCACCTGTCCATGTCCAGGGGTGATCAAAAGCTCAAAGTTCAGGCCTCTGGACTTCTGCTTCTCGGGTAAGCCTGGCTTTTGTGGCACATGGCCAAGGCTGCCTGCTTTGAAGTTAAGACTCCCAGGCTCTGTGAGTTTCCTGGCATTTTGCTGCCTTGCTTGTCAGGTCTCCAGGTACCTTGGGGTGGCTTCTACACCCTGGAGACAGTTGAAATCAATGTCGTTCAACCTTGCTAAATTAGGCTCTTGAAGTCCTACTCCAGATGTTCAGGATCTTAGTTTTTCCTTCTGTTTCAGAATGAAAATGGTTTTCAGGCTGGATCTCTAGCAAGTGGGAAGGTGATTTTCCAGCTAATCCACAATTTATGTCTGAGAGGGAGAAGCAGCAGCATGATTTTGCTTAGGGTGTAGTTTTGGAGTTCATGTTTTCACTTTGCCAGCACTGGTAGCCCAACGTAATATTTTACTGATTTTTTAAAAATTATTTTTCTGCAAAACAGAAAATTCTCTAAGTGAAGTTCATAACTTTTCCACAGCTTTGTGTTGTGGGTAGTTGTGATGGAACATGCAAGTGAACAGAACAATTCCAGTGAAGTAGTACTGACTGAGAACCTAAAGGAGCTGAGGTGGGCTCCTGCCTGTTCTTATCTGCCTCTGACAGAGGATCCCTTACTCACCTTTAATTTTTACTCCTAGAAGAAGGGAGAAAGGTTTCTTTGGATATAAATGTTCCCTAAGAGGGAATCAGCATGTGCTGGATCCCTCCTGCCTGCTCTGTCCCACTAATGGCAGAACGTGTGTGGAGAAGTTTGCCAGTCCTTAGCCTGTTGGAAAAGTTGTCTGTTCTCAGCTGGATGAGCAGCAGCCCCTGCCTTGCTTCATGATGCAGAGGCTCTCCTGGATAGAGTGTCCTTCCTCTCTTTCAGAGAGGCTAAATCCAGTTCTCCTTCTTGAGATTTTGGTAAGACTGAGAGCTAAAATTAGAATAAAGCATAGTTCATTTAATAGTTTTTCTTTAATAGCTTTTCTTCTACTTAAAGAAATTTAAGAAAAACTTCTATGTTGTAGTAAACTTAAATATTTACAGTTGATCAGCTTCAGTCATAGCTGTGGATTTATAAAGCAGTAGTGTTGTGAAAAGTATTTTTCAAAGTTCATGAGGGAGAAAAGAAGGCAAAGAACCTTTAGTACTTTAAGAAGAACTCTTCCATGATAGTAATTGCTGATTGAGGTGAGCAATGAAGAGTTTCCATTTTGTTTCTTTTGCCCTTTTCAAGAAAGAGTGGTTGTAAGTGTTGTTGATGCCATTTGTGACAGGCATGTGGCTGTGCACTGGCATATCCACTGAATCTGCTGCCTTCCCTGTTGCATAACAATGTTCAGTGCTGTGTGCGTGCATTGCTGCGTGGGCACATGGTCTGATGAAGAAAAAGTTACTTTTACTAACCAGCCTTCATGCAGGCTGAGAAACAGGTTATAAAAATAGAGTAGAATTGGAAGCCAACCACGGGGCAAACTCATAAATTTGCTAATGTATGCTGGGATGTGTCAGGCAGGGGGGCAGAGCAAAATCTATTGTGAAAACATGCACTTGGGGCTGGGAAACAGGAAAGCACAGGGCCACAGTCTGTACATGGCTCTTGGACAGCTGCCTGAAGAGTTTGTACACTTGAGTAAAATATTGAGGATTGTAGGGTGCACTGCTAATTGAGCAGTAAAATTGAGTGTATCTCACTTGGTGAGATGAAATACAGCTTCTGGAAGATGCTTAGTTGCTTCCTTTTGTTTTTATTGCCAGAATAAATGACAGATAATTGTCAGCCTGCTTTCTGCATACTTGGCAGTAGGTTGGATCAGCCATCCTGCTCTGTCTCTTGCTTTTTAGCTACAGATTTGAAAAAGTGAGTGTGTGTAAGGTTTTATTACCAGTTTCATGGGGTATGTATACTTATTCTTGATGGACTTTTTTTTTTTTTTATTTTTAGTCTTAGTGGGTTTTGCCATTCTTTTCCTTGAAGTTGATATCAAAGAATTTGGTAGGTTGAAGCAGACTGTGTTTCCATTATGACTATAATACTGATATATCTAGGTTATGATAGCTCATGCATATTCTTTTTTACTGAAATGGTTTCACTGCTGCATTTCACCTAAAGTTTTGCTTTAGAACTTTTTTTCTGTATGGAAAAGCAGCAGTTGTTGCTCAAGATTTACTTGTGAAGTCTTTAATAATTCTCTGGAAAATACTGACTTCTTTCGGTTCTGTTGGACTGATTTCTCTCCCAGCCCCAGCTCCCCAGCCTTGCTGGAGTTGGATAAAATCCAGCATTCTAGCATGCTTTCTTACAAAATATCAGTGTCACTTCCCAGAAACCAACTAAACTGCAGTTTGAGAGTGGAAACTGTTGGGCAAATCCTTTTAAATCTTGAACACCTAATGTAGAGATAAGCATTTAAGCATGACATCCTAAAAAGAGAGAAAAATAAAAAATTAAAGGGCAATCTGTCTTTCCTTGCTGAGCATCTCTGTGATTCCTTCCTTGCTGGTCTTGACCTTGTTCTTGCAGAGTTTGTAGTTGGAGGGTCTTCAGGCCACCCTTCGCTTCTGTGTGTGTAAGAGCTGCCAGGAGAAAAAGGATGTTACTAATTTGTGATAATTATTAAAATGTTGAAGTACTTTAAGTTTTCTGGATTAGAAGAAGAAAAATAGTGGTTGTTCAGTTTGTAGTCTTGGACTTTTAGCTATGTAAATATTGTGGTTGGCTTAGTTTCAGAACTGAAGTGTGGAAATCAAATTACATAGTACTTGTAAGAGACTTTTTGAATGAGAATGAAGCTTTTCTGGAATGTTACTGTGAATTTATCAGTAAATTTTCTATGCAGGCTTTTCTGTGCAAGTCTCATGGGGCTTTTTGTAAAAGTGTTTTGTTCTTTACCTGTGCAGCATGTCTAATGGGCAGACCTTGCTGTCTGCTGCTGCTTTCTTTTTCCATATTGTAAAAAAATACAAAAAATTAACATCTCAACAGCCTGTTGAAATTATTTTGCAGTGTTCCCAAATCTTGACTATTTTCTTTCGAATTAATATGGCTCATTTAATATGTTAAGCCAGATGTGGGCGTGATTATACATTGTAATCTTAAAAGCAAGGCTTAGTCTAATGTTTATGCTGACTTCAGCTTAACATTTTCTGTGGAACAGACTGGTTCTGTGGATGCCCATCTTTTTTGGGGTAGCAAAGTGAAAAACAAAAGCTCATGTTTTGCTGCTGAGTGCAAGCAGGAATAGTGAGGGTGCTGTGTGGAGCTGCTGCTGAGAACTTCTGCCTGGAGTGTGGGCTCTGTAAGGGCTGAGAACTCAAACAAGGCATTGCAAGGCAAGGAACAGGGGCTGAGTTTACTGCCAGGGAGGTGCTCTGCTGTTGCTGACTGCATGGCTGCTCTCTCATGGGGAAGCTGACTCGTTGGCTTGTTAACTCAAATCCTGGTGGTTGTGAGCCAGCGCTGTGACCTCGACTCTCTGGTTAGCAAACAGTGATGTCCTTTCAGATTGCAGCCTGGGCTCCTGGGGCAGTGTCCTGCAGTGCTTGGTAGTGGGGACCTGGTCACTGCTCAGACACTTTCAGGTTAGCTAGATCTGATTCTGTAACAGCTGTGAAACAAGAGGGCACCAATGGCTGCAGCTGGATGAAGAGGAGGCAGGGTGCTGCACTAACATCCTCCTCTAGGAAAAGCTTCTGGCTGAAATACATGGCACACAAATCTTGCTCCTACAGATAGAGTTCCAGCACTTCCTTGTCTCACACCTCTCTCTTTTTCATGTTCTCTTTACAGTCTTTTATTTTCCCCATGATACTCATAACTGTTTTGCCAATTTCCTTACAATTGTTCCTTATAATGCTGCCAAAAGTGACTCACTCACTCAACCCCTTTGAAAGTGCCTTTCAAAAATATTGCTTCTCAAACCCAGCAGTGAATCTACATTTAAATGTATATTTAAAATTCATTGCTAACCAGAGTATTTCTTTCCAGTGTTGTGTCTAAAATGGTCTGTGTGGGGTGAGAAGTATCTTTATTCTCTGCTCCATGTAGGCCAGACCCGCATGTGGAGTTCAAATGAAGAAGTTATCCTAGATTTCCTAGGCTGGATAGTTTTGATGCTTTTTTGTTTTGATAGATTTGATTTGATTTCATTGCTTGAATTCAAATCACAGATTTGATTGAGGTGCTGTTGGTTGCTGAGTGCTTTTTTGAGTGGGTGCTGTGAAGCTGTGGTGGTGTGACAAGGCAGCGAGGAAGTGCTGCGAGTAAGGCCTTGAAGGGAGGGTGTGAACCTGTTGGAACTGAGCCACGAGTGCTTGGTTCAGAAATCCTCCCTGAAAAGAGAGAGATCCAGACCCTTCTGTGGCTGTGAAGGTGCCCTGGGTCGCTTTTGCAAGAGGGTGCAGTTGGGAAGCTCAGGGTCAGGGAGCAGTGGGGAACGATAATTTAAACACTCCTGTTCTTCCCTCTGGTGATCTTTATCTGCAGAAGGAGTGTAATTTTCCCTGCTAGAGGGGAACTGTAATGCAGATTCAGAAAAGTTGCCTGGAAGCCTAACTGCAGTTGAAGGCAGAGGGAATTGCATCATCTTTTAGACCAAGGAAACTGCTGGTCCCACCTGAGACTTGTGAAATGAATGCATCTGCTGGGAAGGAATATTCAAAAACCTACCAGTCTTGGCCAGAGCTTGTCCTCCTGAATGTGAAGATGCTGTGTTAATGATTGATTCTGAACTGCCACAAAGTTACATAATTTATTAGTCTGAACTAATATTTTTATAAATTTTTATTATTATATTTTCATGCTGGAACTCCCAGGAGTTTGCTTTTCCATGTTACTTAGGCCTCAGGGAAATACTAAAGCACTGATCTGGCAGGTTCTCTGATTGTATTTTTTTAAATACAAAGGTACAAATTCAAATCTGGGCTTTAGTTTTAGATGAGGTTATTTTGGTGGAAGTGAGCTGTTCCCAGTTTTTTGGCCTTGTTATTGGTGTAATCTGAAATCACAGAGTGTTCACTTGTTTCTAGTCTTTTAGGTGAAGTTACTAAATCTGTTCTTGTCTTTTTCTTGCAGTAATGAATGTTATAACAATTGAAATCACAGAGTGTTCACTTGTTTCTAGTCTTTTAGGTGAAGTTACTAAATCTGTTCTTGTCTTTTTCTTGCAGTAATGAATGTTATAACAATTGAAGACTATAAGAGCACATATTGGCCAAAGTTGGACAGTGCCATAGATCAGCTTTTAACTCAGAGTCCTGGTGACTACATCCCTATCTCCTATGAACAAATATACAGGTAAGGAAATACTTTAAATGCTACATAACTATTTTTTTAAAGGAAATGTTTATTTGATGTTGTTGTCTATGCATATGTCATATTTTGTACCTTTGAGGAGACAAATTGGAAAGTTATGTGAAATACAGTACTTCTAAAATAGTTAGAGCCAATAATAGATACATATCTTGATATACCATGTTAACAGGAATAAATGCTAAAGAATTAAAATGCTGAAGTGCTGAAGACACTAACATTAAAATAAACCCATCACAGTTACTTAGTGTAATGTCCTAGGAAGTGCATTAAAGACTCAACATCCTTTCCTCCAAAGAAATTGGCATGATAAGCAGTTGACTTGCTGTATCAAAAGGCTTCTTTATGATAGCTAATAGGAGCCAATTTGGTGTGGTTGATGTGCAGAAGGAAACAGAAGCATCTGGTGCCAAGGTCCTTTGATGTAAATTGTCATTGTGTGTTTTGCCTCACGTGTTCTGGTGTGTTCTCCCCTTGCCAAGTTCCAGGCAGTTTGAAGGACACTCCTTTGGATCTGCATTCTTGTCTGGAGAAGGCTTGGGCTGTAGCTGTCTTGGAGCTGCAGTTTGGTTTGAAAGGGATCTAATCACACACCAGAACTGCCCTTCAGGCTAAACTAGTGCTCAGTACTGGGGGTGGTGGGGGGTTTCCTTCCTCATCACACTGCTGCTGCTCCAAACCAAAATGCTGCAAAGACCTGGCAGTTTCTTGAGATGAACTAAAATGGAGATGTTCTGTACTCAGAGTGTTGGTGAGCAGGATGGAAAGTGGGTGACTGCTCTGCATTTACTGCCCAAGATGCTGTTAGAACCCCTGGCCCTTGCACACTGTGGCACTGCTCTCTTGGTTTTGTTCACCAGAGGGTTGCCCTGTGGAATAATGCTGCCAGCTCCAGTCACTGATGGCTGTTTTTAGGGACTTTCAGCTCTGTTGTCTCATGCCCACTTGCTCTTAGCCACTTTTCTTTGCAGTTTAAAACTTTGGATTAAGAAAGGCAGCTGTTTGGTTTTGCCCCTTCGTTCCCATTGAAAACTTCAAGAAACTTCCTCTTTCCTCTGCAAACTTTTGTCACTACTTTTGTCAGGACTCAGAGATCAATCATCTTGTGTATAAATAGAGATGGCTGATTGAATTAAGAGAGCCAGCTTTAGTGTAAGTAATCAGAATTCCTTCCCAGCTTGAAATCCCCAGTGTGCAAACAGTCTGCAGTAAGACATCTCTCAAAAGTGATCTCTGATAATGAGTAGGTTTGCAAAGTTGATGGTTTAATTATACCTAGTTATGGTTTGCAGATAACTGGACTTCATCCTTGTCATCTTTCTACTTCTCAAAAGTTTTATTTACTGAAGGAGTACTGGATTTTGAGTTTCTTCTGGATAAGCCCTGTACATCTGGGGCACTTGGTGCAGGACTGTAATGATGCATGGATATCTGTTGCATATATTTTACTATTACTAAAGCTAAAGATTTTCCATAGTTTAGTGTTACTGGTAAAGCTGGTGTGTCAGTTTTCCTTTAAAAATTATGTCTGTGGTTGTAATTACTCTGCCACAGCCTCTTCCAACCAGGAGATTGATTTTGTTTATTTTTTAAAATATTTTTAGACTGTTCCTTTGATTGACAATCTGGACAAGACAGATTGACAAGGGAAAGATAATTTTTTTTTTTTCTAAAGAATTGAATTTAATAAGGATGTTTGCTTGGAGTATTTTGAGAATCTGTAGCAGACTTAAGTTCAGATCTTCTCTGCTTCCAAGTTCTTTAGTTTGAAAAATGGAATGTTTCTTGAAGTGGTTCAAACAGCTACATATGTATTTTTTTTCTTTGCAGTGAAACTGACATGCAAATACAGTAGTATTCTTGGTCATCTTTGTGCTGACTAGAGGAATCAACTTTTCCTTAATACAAACTCAAAATACATGATTAGTTACCCAAATATTTGGGTATTTGCTGTATTTGACATGGTCACTAATAGCTGTAGGTGTTTACTCCCAGCAGTGAGAGCTGGGAGATAAACTGCTCCATGGTAAATATCTGCACACACACCTTGGCAGTTATCTCTAAGGTATCAAAGTGTCATTATTGTCTGTTTTCAACTGAGTCCAAAGCCTGCCTGTGCAGAGTCACTTCCAGTTCCAAAGGGTTGGATAAATTGGCAGAGAGCTGTGAAGGAAGGTTTGAGATGAGGAAAACATGAGCAGCTGAGTTGTCTTCTGGCAGTCTCCACTGCCTTCCAGGTGCACTGCAGTTTTCTGTTCCTCAGCAGGAGATTGATTTTGTTTATTTTTTAAAATATTTTTAGACTGTTCCTTTGGTCGACAATCTGGACAAGATAGATTGACAAGGGAAGGATAATTGATCCTGTTCCTCAGGAGAGCTTGGGTATTCATCCACTGCTTACCCTCTTAATGTCCTTTTTAGGATTTCCTTTTCCTAAGGTGTTTGGTTATGTTAAAGAACTAACAAGCTTGTGACTTCTTTTGGGTAACATCAGGGCAAGGATGATTCACAGAATTAGCCCACAATCAGGAACTGAAAACAGGATCTCAGAATGGAGAAGGAACCTCTAAGTAGAAGTGTTCAAATCAAATGTAAACACACCCTGTGTGTACATGGGAAGACTGGTGTTTGACTAGAGAACATGTTGCAGAAATTGAGGCAGCAGTAGTGTGTGTAACACTAAGGAGAAGTGTGCTTTAAATATCAGTTTAGTTGCATACAAATTAAGCAGTCAGCTTGTGGAAGTGGCTGTGTGCTGGTTAGCTGTGTAGCAAACAAATGTGTGACCATTTGCTGTGGTTACCCAGCTGGCTGATTTTGTAAGAGATCACAAAAATTAGTCTCACTTTTCTTATCAGTGTTTCTCTCTTTGATCCAAACCAAACTGATATTTTTGCTCTTAGCAAGAAGCATTGTACCAAAATATCTTTTGCAGTTGCTTGTTTCAATATAGGATTTGTGGTTGGTAGACTTGATATGAAAGAAAAAGAATGACCTTGACTGATAATATATAAATAATAGCAAACTAGAGATACCCTACACCTCTCATATTATTATATTTTAAGAATACTGAGTATCTTTTGGTTTTTAACAAATAACATGGTTCACCAAATAAGCAGACTTTTGCTATCTTTGTAGTTTGCCTGTTTTTGTGCCACCACACCTTCTCAGTAGAGAATTGGAGAGTCATAGTTCCCCTACAGAGATAACAGTGTTGTTTTCCCATAGCTTTGGGCTTTTGGGGCCATTTAAAGCCTGCAGAATTCAAGGCTGGGGTCTGGACCTCCCTGGAAATCAGTTGTTTGCACATGTCCTAAGAGCAGTCTCTGGCCTGAATTGCTTGTGGTCCCATTTCTGTACAGAGAGTGGAGAGGGGAGCAGGACTGAGATGAAATCTCCCTGGGCCTCTTGGATTTGGCAGCTAGCAATAACATCTTGCTGAAAGTAATAAATGTATGTTTTACAACTGCTGTAAATATGTCTTCAATGAATAGCCTTGTTTTGCAGATGTTACATTACAGTATATAAGCAATAAAGTGTTCTTAAGAATCAAAGGTGGTACTGAAGACCAGACATAACACAGCAAAGCCATAGAATACAGAATTAGTTTTATTGCCCTTTTTTGCATCTTTCTTTATTATGAAAGTGTAGAATTTTCTCAGAATTTAAGTAACAAAGAATGGAGAAGCATGCTTGGGTCTGTAATTGTAGAACTTTTGCCATTTCTTTTTAACACTACCATGATTTTGATGCTATTTCTCTCATACTTGTCACCATTCCCCTTCTTTTAGTGAGGGTTTTGCCTTAGAGTATTCATAGAATTGTTAAACCTGCTTATTTTAATGGAGACTTAATTCACAAAGGAGAGACAAAAACCAGAAGTAGGAGTGTGCTGTTGACAGAAATGTCCTGGCTGTTTTGAAGTGCACTGTAAGAGAGCTCATTGTAAGTTAAAATGAAATTGGGGAGGGGGAATGGGATGGACACCTGGAGTCTCCAGGGGAGTCCTGAGAGCCTGCTGGAGCTCATTCCAACCTTAGGACTGTATTTAAAAGTTCAATATTCAATTAACTCTATAATCCTCTAAATTGAAACTTGAACAAAATGTTTTGAAGTCTGTTACCCTTCATTGCAAACTGTTGTAAGTTCATTGTTTGTTCCTATATTTGTTTCTGCAGTTGTGTGTATAAGTGTGTATGCCAGCAGCATTCGGAACAGATGTATAGTGACCTAATAAAAAAGATAACTAACCACTTAGAGAGAGTCTCAAAGGAGCTGCAGGTAAGAAGCTGCACAATCTAATTCTCTCTTTCCTGGGATCTGTGATTATATCAGAGCAGTATGGAGGTGGCCCGTGGAGGGGATTGCTATTATGACTGATTTACATTAACTTACAAAATTGTCAACTACTTCACTCACTAATGGGCTGTCAGACTGAAAACCAACTACTAGATCTAAAGGTTTGGCACTGCCAGACCTTGGAGATCTCAGCCATGTGGAGAACAGTGGCTAAACCTGAATATATGATACAGAATGAAAGAATGGAGAATGGGAAATCTTAAGTATAATATGGGATGTAAATACCTCAGTCAAATGTAATCTGAGCATGAGATAAACGTCTGCCATTCCTGTGTAAATGTGTATAAACTATTTATGGTTCTTGTGCAACCACAAGCAGCACAAAAGGGAAAATCTAAAGGAAAAAAATTGTGTGAATTAAATATAGATTGTGAAGTATAAGTTAAGAATTACTGCATATGGAGTTCCATTACAGCTTATTCTGCATTTTTCTTGCCTATCTGTAGATGTCAGTGGTTTACAGCAGTCCTAATATATACAGTTTGTATATCCCTATCCTTCCCTGCATCTTACCTGTGCATCCATGGTTGCTTTCACGTGTGTACCATGTTGAACATTCCTTATAGACTAGAATCTCCAGATATGTACTTGAAATTGTCATTGTTGTAGCAGCAACACTGCTTGATTTTTTTTCCCTGAAGCATTTTTTCACTTCCATAGCTGATGTTTGAGTTCTGTACTGATTTGCAGTGCATGAAGTAGAGAAGCCAGATACAAAGAGACCCTAAAATACAGCAGCTTCTTCAGTGCTTCTAACACATTGATAACTAATTTAGGTCAGCCCAAAACACTCCTAATGCTTTAACTGCCTCAGATATTTCTGGCTAAACATGCATTCCCAAAATACATAGCACTGTGATCTTTCTGATGTCCTTTTTGTTGCACTGTTTTCCTCTTGTGACTTTCCTTATAAAGAAATTTAATAGGCATGGTATTTGCTAGGTTCTTTCTTCTTTTCTCTTTTATGGTCTCTTTTATTTGTCATGGAGTGATAGCCTCAGTGTTCTGTAAAAATTGCTTGGAGTTGGTGAACATAGAATTTAAAGTAAAGTCTTCCCTTGGTTCTGCTGAGCTGGTGCAGCCTGTGCATTTTTTCTTCTGTTTGTGAGAACTATGAATCATTTCAGCTATACAGGTTTGGCCAGTTCTGATATATCCCATATATCCCAACGGCTTTAGTTTGATTTGAATTTGGGAATACCCTACATTCTTTACTTGCTAATCCTTGACTATTTTCTCTTAAGTCCCAAAACTGAGGCAGCTGATTTTAAAGTGTGTTTTAGCACATATGAGCCTAAATACTTCTGCCTAAAAACAAGGCTGCCTTCTGCACATCAGCTTGTTAAAAGAATAATTGAGACAAGTGTTTAATGCAATCTTAGCCTTGCAAAAGCTTCCTTATGTGGGTTAGACACACCTGCAATATAACACAATACCATCCTTGAGTGCATCATGTGGGTTTTGTCTGACGTGCGAACAGGACTTGGCTTTTGGATGACAAATGGATCTTTTTGAGCTGCTGGAGGTGCAACTCTCACATGCCTCAAAAATTATTCTATAAAGAAACTGTGTTAGCTGTGGGTTGTGAAATTTAATCTTAAGAAATTACTACAATATGTTTTATTATTCTGAAACTTCTTTAATCTTAGTACATTTTGGTGACATTCAGTCACCTGGAATTTATGTTGAAAATGCAGTTCTAGATCTTTATCCTAGCAACAATAGCAAATTACTTTGTAAATGTTGGTTGCTTGGAAATTTCTGGTTCCCACAGGCCAACAATGAAAAAAACCCTATATCTGTGAATCCTTTTAATGCACAGTTTGTGGTGTTTTGCTTTTTGACATAATCTCATTCACCTGCCAACAACATTTAAGAGTTCTGTTTGTTTGGCAAGCTATGACTTGATGCAAGTTGTTGGTTTTTAGTGTTCAGAGCTGCAAAAGTAGCCCAGTAGAAGCAGGAATGTTGGTTTGTGTAAGAAAACAGGTGTTTATAGAAACTGAAATGGCAGACATATGCAATGCCTTTCTCTGGACAGGGCAGCACTTTCTTTGCATAGCAGTGCAGCAGTTAAATGGGAGGTGGGCTGCAGGGTCTGCATGTAACCAACATGCCAGAGCAAGCTGTCTCCTACAGGAGCCACTCATCAACAGCAAACCAGTAAAACCCAGATACCAAACAGTAAAAGTGGGGACTGGTCAGACCTGCTCTTGCATGGATTTAGTCTTAATGGAGTTTGGTTTCTCTCTTCGGGGCATTCACTGCAGAAACTCCCGATCTATATTCACTGCCCCCTCCCTGTGTGTGTAGCCCTGTGCTTGCCTCAGCAGCTGGAGTCAGCAGAGTGATGGACACTCGTGTGTCCTGAGCTGGGTGTCCTGTGCTGGGACACTCAGAACAAACCCTGGTCATCTGCTTTTCCACACCGCAGGACAGCTTGTGTGGCATTGGTGTTTGTTGCCCTGTGTGTTCCTGAGGGTTTGTTACACAGTTTTTCAGCTCGGGAGAGTTAGTCAGTGATGGCAGAGACCCAGGAAAATGTGGCTGGGCTCATGTATTTCTGCATGTTGGACATGGGGTGAAGAGCAGTGAGCAGTGCTGCTGAGTAATGGTACATTTAGAGGAGATGAATTGCTTGTCACCAGGCTGATATGGGGTCTCCTGTATGCCAAGCCATTTCCAGCTCCCTCGTTGCTGTATCAGGCAGTTCATGATCCCCACTTCAGACTGCCATGGAGAGACACAGCAAGGATTGCTGTCCTATCCTGCAGCTGATGTCTGACCAGCTTCCCTGCATTGATTAAAACAGAGTTTTACCATGCAGAGTTTCAGTAATTGAGAATTCAATCTCCCTAATTCCTGAGCCGATTTGAATTTTGGATTTTGTCAGCTTAAAAAAATAACGTGTCGCTGCAGAAAACACAAATTAACTTGTTTCCTGTTGTGTTGAGGTCTGTGAAGCCTGTAGCATGCAGATGATTTTTCTGAGATGCTTTATTTGGAAACATTTCACTGGTAATGGACATGGTTCATTATGTTGTGGTTTAAAATAATGTCAGCTGTTTTTGTGGGTAATTGCTGAGTCATTCAGATGTATGAGGTAGGGTGGATACACAAACATATGCTTTCAAATTAAATACATCTCTTTAAAATGAGTAAAACTGTATTTGCATTAGGCACTGGTGTTTCTGGCTTAATTTATTCTTATGCACTCTGATAAAGTAATTTAAAATCAAGCACTTTGCCCATTAGCACTTCAGCAAAAGATGCTGGAAAGTACTCAAAGCATTGACAATCAAAATGTGCTGTGGCTTTGAGCCTGCTTGTTACAAATGTAGCTCTTTTGTGCAGGTGCAGTGCAATATTTTCTTTTTAGTTAGAATGAACTCAGTGCTTCCTTTTTGAAATGATTGAGGGCTGAAAACCATTTATTTGTCACGTTGCACCTTTTATTTATCTAGAGGAGAGAGAAAAGGGGATCTGTTATTTTCTGTTTGTGGTGGGTTTTTTTATGACAATGAATTATATTTTTTTTAATGAACATGGCTGCACTGAGGAGTCACTGGTGTTGGTAGACAATTTGCATGTCTGCTGTTTGGCCCCCAGGACCTGCAGGTTTATAGTCTTTGTTGTGCAATGCCAGAAAGGTTTCCTGCCTGCTATTAATCATTACAACTTCTCAGCCTTTTGTCTTGGCTCTCAAACCAGTCAGTGCAGTGTATGAAAGTAGTGTCCCACTTGCTGTTTCCTTGGGAGAATGGGTTTGGAAGTCAAGTGTCCTGAGTGAGGGCTTTAAAAGGTGCTCAACCCTGGTAAAGGTATCAGCAAAAGCAGCTTTAATATTAAAGTGAAATTATTACTGTGAGTTTCACTGAACTGAATCAGCTCATATGGATGGTTTGAACTCAGATGGTTGAAACCAGCAGTGTTACAAATGTTTGTATCTCTGTGTGTGAATAGCAAAAAGATGGCTTTTGACTTGAAGTAGTAGGGGTGACCATGTTGCTGGAATTGCCATTAAAAATAACAACCATCAGCAAGTTAAGCTGAGAGGAGCATTCTTGTCTGCAGCTTTTTGGAAAGGCTTGTTTATCTCTGCAGCTCTGTTTATCTGTTTTGTCACACTACGCTGGGGCGGCAGACCTTGGTGCAACTACAGAAAGATACAAGTAACTACAGCACAAATTAATGTGTATTTAATAGATAGAAAAGCTTCTGAAGGCTTCTTACTGCTACAGTTTTGATGTCTTTAGATACAATGTCTTTTTGTTTAACAAACATTTAGAAGGGAAATGGAACATGGCCCACACCTGCTAACCTGCTGTAAGACAGTTTTGTGAGAAAATGTCATGAGGCTTTGAACAGGTTTGAGTGCAGGCTTGACTAGGAAGAGACAGTCTTTGAATCAGTTGTGCTTTGGTTTGATGTCTGTTTTTTGTAAAATGTTTTAATAATACCAGTGTCTAGTGAGGTAGACCTGGGCATCACGTATACATTGCAAGGCAAGGCAAACAAATTATATTTTCTTGAGAAAGAACAAAGAGTGGTTTAGAAGATTCAGACCACTTACATGAATAACAGGTTAATTTGTGTAGTCATAGCCATTCTCCCTTTTCACTTGGCAGGCGTGGGAGGGATGCTGCAGTCTATGTGCTGGCATTTTGGCAGGGAGCATATTCCCAGGAAAATGGAGCTGCCCATTCACCATAGGAATGTAAGCTCTACTACACATACTGCTGGCTGTGCCAGACAACTCTTCATAAACAGTTTAACTTTGTGTTCCTCAAGCACAGAACTGTTGTCTCTGTTTCTTTCTTCTGAGCTGTTTCTGAGTTATTTTGAGCCAGCAGCTGCCTTCTGATGTCATATGTTCAGTTTAAGAATGATATTGAGACTGGTTTTGAACTCAAAAAACCCATATCTTTTTCAGATCGTTTCTTGCCCACGAGTGCCTTGAAATGCCTAGGTATTAGATTTCAAATAAGGACAGTTTAATTTAGTACACAGGATCTCCAGCTGCTTATTTTCTTTTGCTGTGTCTTGTATGTAATCCTCTCCCAAATGTGTTTTCTTGTTACTTCTCATTTCTGTTGCTGCTGAGGTGTCCACTGTGGTGTGTGAGAAGATAAAATTGTGTCTTTAACATCAGCTTTTAAACAGCAGCCATAGTATTTTATTTTAAGAAGCAGATGACTCACAACCAAGGTAAAGATGTTAAGCAAATGCAACTGCATCAGAGTTTGAGAAATCTAAGCAAACATTCAATGCTCCTGTGAACAGACACACAATACAATTGTTCCTGGGAAACTGTTCTTAACCCTACAAGTGCTAGGTAAGACCAAATGTAGGAGAGGATTTAAACTGCCTGTATTGAGTGTTTAAAAAAAACAAAAAAACCCAAACAATTAAAAAAACCAACAAACTTACAAAAAAACATTCCCAACCCCCTGAATTGACAGTTTGATAGGATGAAGGTGAAGGAATGAGGGATTCTCTTCTTTCCTGGAAAACCTTAAGCTAGGAGTGTGTGCTTTGTATTTTTGAATACCTTCTGTAATACATCCCTTAGGTAAGATAGGAGTGGGTTTAAACACTTAATAGTTGCTGGGGAGTTGTAAGAAGTAAATGTCATGCTTAATTCTACCCCATCCCTTGTAATTTAAGCAGCTGAATGTGTATATTATCTTTTTCTGGACTAGGATCAGGAGTAAAAAGTGTCAGCCAAAGCAGTTTTTTGGCTTTTTTTCTTGTAATAGCTATATCTGAATAAGTGTAGATTTTAAATTCAAGTTGGGCTGTAATGATGGCCACTTAATATAAAAATCTTAGCAACTGCTGTTTACTCTTGAATTTGTTGCCATGTGCTGCTTTTTAGTTTACAAAATTCAAATATTTTTTTATAAAACTATTCCAGCTCCAGTTACTGTCCTATAAATGTGAATGTAGAGATGTGGAGAAAGATCCTGTGCTGAAGCAAATAATTGATTTCAGTCTGGCAGTTTGGAGCAGCTGTACAGTAACATTGTGATGAACGGAAAACAGATGGTTCTGTTTTCCCCACACAGATTACAGTAATTCATAGATGAGCTGTGAAAATACTATTATTGATTTCTCTTTGGCTTGGGTATTTTGGTAGTTTACAAGTCAGGCTTTAGTTGAGTAGAGTTTGATTGTCAAGCTTGCATTTTTTTTTTTTTTTGCTGTCCATTGCTGTTGCTGTTACTGTCTTGGCTATTTAGGCTTGACATGAAACACTTGTCAGGAGAATAAAATTGAAAAGTGACATGTCATGCTGATAAAGCAGACAACACCATGATTTCTGCATTACAGAGGTTAAAACCAAGGCCTGATACTTGCCTGACACCAGTGAGGCACTTCCTCTGAAGCCATCAGGAGATCTCTTGGCTTTTTTTGTCTTTATCCAGAGCAGTTGCTTTCCACTTAATTATGAGGCAGAGTGGTGGTTGGCAGCTCCCAGGTGTCCTTCCATTAGAGGCTCCTGAGATTCTCAGATGTTGTGCCCTCATAAACAGCCTCCCTTACTGTGACACCTTTGGGAGCTGAGATAGCACAGTTCTCATCTGCAGAGGGGAAAAAAGATATCCGTGCTTATATCCCTTGTCAAAATGTGGCAAACTGGCTGCACACATTGCCTGGGATTAAATCTCCACTGCCCAGACAGCTTCTGACTGTGTTTCATTTTGTTTGCTTTATTGTTGTTTTGTTTTTATAATGAAAATGGCAATCTATCAGTGAGAGAAGAGTGGTGCCCTGTGTCAGGCTATGGTCTCTTTTTGTCTGACATGTTCTTTCAAGTAGAATTTTCCTTTTTCTTTAATCTTAGAAGCTGTATACAAATCAGAGGGTATAACCATATTTAAAGTTGAGGTTGAAAAGGAGTGAAGCAGGAATACATACTGCTTAGAATGCAGATTTCATTGCATGTTATTTGCAACAAATTGTATATGTAGCTGTATATGAAAGGGAGTCCTTGGAGCTCATAGCCACTTTTATATGTTGTTGGCATTTTTGAACTAAAATTTGTTTGGCCACCCCTGAGAACTGCATTTGCAATAAGATTAAATCCTTATGATCAAAATGAGGAATAACCATTTATAGCCTTTGGCAACTGCATATGGAATAGCACTCTTTTTTCCTTTGCCAGTTTTGCTTTCCTTTCTGAACTGTCTGCTCTATATTGGTGTTTGCTGTGAAGATTACCCACGTGTTCATTAAGCATATTAAGAAGGGAGGCAAAAGAAGCCATTTTAAGGGGGGAAGAAATGGTTGTAAATTTAGAATACTTCATAGAGCCAAATATCAACATAAAATTTAACTTTTCTCTTAGGGCTGCTGGTGAATGTCCATACAAAGGTTGAAAAATGTTTGTGAAGATAGCTTTAAGTTTTGATAAGGTGGTCGAGGTGCAGCTAAGCCTTTGAGTGTTTCTTGTGCACAGATGCTTTGGCTTTAGGAAAATCTTTGAACTTGTTTTCTTGCAAGGTCCCAGTTACTGCTGTATTCTCCATCTTCTTTTGGCTTGGTGCTGTCAGAGGGGAAAACAGTGTGGGGGAAGAGGAGTTTTGCTTCTCATTGGCAAGCAGCACTTTGCCCTTGGGTTCATATAGGTGTATCTATATATGTGAGCAGTAGGAACTCAGCCAACCCAGCCCCTCTGGAGAGACCAAAGCAGGGCTTGGGCCGGGGGTAGGCAGTGAAGGGGGGAGGATTGGGGTGGAGACATTGCTGTAGCTCCACTTCCAGCTGTGGGTATCTAAGTGCACTTCTGAATGCTCCAGTGCAGCTCCCCTGGGGCCTCCAAATGGATATTGTAACAGAAACAGTGCTTAGTGCTTCCCTTTCTTCTGCTTCTCTTCTCAATTTAACTTCACCTGCTGCTGAACAGTTCTTTTAAGCTTCCTTATCGCCTTCTTTGGGAGATAGGGTATTGTAGCCAGAAAACAGCACATTCAGGTTTTGTGTAGCCAAGTTTTGGCTGGGGCTCCAGGGGGATGCTGTGTGTTGGAGCAGGGCTGGATTTCCACAGGCCTAACCCTGGAGCAAAATGCAAAATTCTCTCTGAAGATGTTGCTTCTTTGTGAAGCTGAACCCCCTGAGCACTTGCCTTGCCTGAGGTGACCCAGCAGTGACTTAGAAAGGTTTTCTGAGCAGGGCAGTGTTCCCTGCAGCTGGAGGATGTGCCACTCACCTGCTCAGCTGCAAAGCAGCAGCTTATAGCACTTGCCTTGCCTGAGGTGACCCAGCAGTGACTTAGAAAGGTTTTCTGTGCAGGGCTGGAGGATGTGCCACTCACCAGCTCAGCTGCAAAGCAGCACCTTAATGCCACCCTGCTCTGGTGGAGGGACAGCTCAGTGGGGTGGGAGCACACACTGCACTGCAGCACTTGTGCACATTTGGTTATGGATTCTAGGCATGACAGCTGGTGCTTTCAGAACAAACCTCTGGTCTTTAAAAAGTGTTTTTATTTGCATATGCTAAATGTCAGCTTGTTACAGGCTCACTGTAGTTCTTATTGAATGGACCTTGTGCTGGGCACTGATGTACAGTCCTAGGATAACCTAGTTACTGAAGGGAGATTGCTTTTGCTGGAGGGAGTTAGAGCAGAAACTCTGGAATGATGTGTGGCTTGCTTTGTGTGAACCTAGTGTATCAAACCCTTTGTAGTTGTTTGAGTTTGCTATGAAAGCATAGCCCATGCTGTTCCAGATCTTTCTCTTGTTCAAATTACAACCTGACTTTTACGGTTTCTTGCAGGCCAGCCCTCCAGATCTCTATATTGAAAGATTTAACGTAGCTCTTGGACAGTATATGGGAGCATTGCAGAGCATTGTGCCTCTTTTCATATATATGGTAAGTTTTAGAACATTCTTTTCAAATAAATATGTCCATACACAAGATGCTGACTGAAAATGAAAAGAATAAAACCCAGCTATAACGACTTCTGACATGTGAAACTAATGATTCATGCCTAGTTTTGGTGCTTGCCTAACAATACTGATCAAATTGTATGGGGAGAGGAAGGGGAAGCCATGCTTTTTACATGCAGAGTTTTGCAGTTGGTTTCTGCCCTAATACTTCTTTCCTGGGAGTGGGGAGAATGGGTTTGGTTTTGAAAGGAAAAAAGCCGTCTCAAATAGTTCATTATTTTGTACAAAGGTAATTTATTGACTTGTTAAATTTTGGCTTCTTAGTTTGGTCAGGTTGTGGAGATTATTTTGCTTTCAAGTAGTACAGATTCAGAAAAGACGGGAGGAAATGTGGCTTGGAAATGTCTTCATCATTTGATAAAGCAATTCACAGTGTCGGATGGATGAAGCCAAAATAATATTCATGGCACTGTCAGGTGTACTTGGAGTGGTTCAGAAACCAATAATTTGCATCCTTTTTGTTAAAGTACCAAAACTTTTATTGCCTTTTTTTTTGTGGTAATGAATAACTTAAGCTTGAAATTTGTCCTTCTCCCAGAAACTGTCCTTGTTTTGACATCACTTAGAAATGAAAAAAAGAAAAAAAATAGATTAAATAAACCTCAAACTCTTAAAAGTTTTTCTCACTGGTAATTTCACAGAGTTTGGGAAGCAGCAGCCTTTAGGAGGCTCTCCTGTATCTCAGTGAATTTAGGTAACTTGCTACAGTATTTTGGCATTGTGTTGCCATACAGATTTGTTGCATTAAAAGAGGAACTTGCCTTTCTTGAACTCGAGGTCTTCTAATCTGCCCTTTTATCTGGTTCTGTTACCTGTCAGTTCCTCTTGCTGCCAAAAGCAATGGAGACCTGGCTGTACAGCTGGTTTATAAGGCCAATGGCAGATTAGCTGCCATGCTTTTTCACTGAAATAATTTCAGTGTTGTGCATGATGTGGGAAATAGATCTAGAGAAGTCAGGGTGAAAAATGTGTTTCTTAGTTTATTCTGTGTGCACTTGGAAGTACTTTTATCTACGAGTACTCTTACAAGCTTACATTGTACTGTCTAACCAAGTTTTCTCATACAGCAACGACAGTTTCCTCTCTTTGGTCCAAAAGTACAATTGAAAAACAACTGCAAGAGGTGAAAGCCTAATTACAGTCTAAATTACAGCTTTGCAGTTCCTTTGATAGATACTTTTCAAAGCCTTTTGAAGTGGACCAAGTTGTTAAACTCTGCTGTTATGTCAGAGGTGAGGAGAGGCTTTCCGTTTCTGTGATTGCTTTAATCAGGGGTTGCTCTTGAGGACTTTGTTCTGAAAGGACAATTATATTGCTGCTTAGGAAAACTTCCAATATGCATTTAAATATTTTTGAAATCTATGAAGCTGAGGAAAGACTAAAAACTTTTATGTAGAACTGGAATATGGCATAATACTTTGTCTTAGTCCTGTGTGTCCTAAAAGCAGCAGCAGCACTTTTCTTTCCTGATGCATACCAAAGAAAGGTGATTTCTCACCTTGTGTGTGTATGGTGACCGAGGGGTGTTTCCAAGCTTATCAGGAGGGGACTGACCTTGCAACTGAGGGAGTTTTCTTTTTCCTTCTTTTGCTGGGAGCACTTTGTTTTTTCACATGGTGATGGATTTTTCAGTCTTTAGGCTGCTGCAGCAGATTTGTCAGAAAAGCAGAGAGACCAAATGACCCTCTGAGATTCTGTGGGTTTGGGCTCCTTCAGAAGTTCAGGGATGTAACTGAAGGTAAAGCAAATTAAACTGGAAGTCAGCTGCATACACAGTGCTTTGTTCCTTGCAGAAAACTGTTTTTCAAATTTAAGTGAGATTATTCTAGGTGCTTACAGAGTGTACATATCACAGCATGCTACGCACATGAATGAAAAACTATTTCTACTTGAATAAAAAATAAAATTTAGATAATCTATTTTTCTTCTAGAATCTCAGTTTTTCATTTTACTTTGAGATGCAGCTGAAAATCTGTTATTTTATCATGTTATATGAGCCTAACATTTGTGAGCACTGTGGTTTTGGGATAGTTAGAATTTTTTCATTACTTCCAAAATAATGTTATCCTTACTGAGTGGTGTTGCATTTTGTGGCTTTTCAGCTAGAGGGCATTTTGTGTGAGTCTGTATACACAAATATATGTGAATATGATGTGATAAGCACACCTGTATACTGTGTTTTCTTCTTTCAAGTATTATTGATCTCCTCTTAACTGAGTTTGATAAGATGTGCCAGATTGCTTTATCATAAGGTGTTTTGTAGAATTAATGTTTGTAGCTGACTTTCTCAGTTACTCACATCAGCTTACCTTTTTGTGTCAGTTAGACCTTTATGTGACTTGAGACATTTTTCAAGAAATACTGACACAGTGTATAACTTATGATTGGTAGTGACAAGTTATACAGAAAATCTTCCTGATCTACCCCTAACAAGAATGGGGGAGGTGACAGCTCCTCTTCTCTCTCCTTTCAGTGGATTGGAAATGAAGTACTTTGGTTAGATGTTTTTTCACTGTCTATTTAAGCTCACAAAAGTGGAACGTCTTTTTGGAAAGGTGTTTCCAAGTAAGCAAATGTGAAGAGTATTTTTCATTTCTTCTGTGTTTGTACTGTCTTGGAACTGGTGGCTTGTGGGGTTTTTTGTTGCTTTTCTAGTAATGAAATTACTAGAATTAAAAGTTTAGGCTGTCCAGCCCCTGAGCAAAACAAAGCATTGTAATTTGCACATCTTGTGCAAACTGGTTTTGGAAAATGTTCTGGTGAAAGGCTGTAGTGTGATGTGTATCTTAACATTTCCTTGAAGTGTATCTTTAGTTGCTGTGGGTTTCTGTAGCAATGGCAATTCACCATTGACCAAAAGCATTACCAATAAGTGAGTCTGTTTATAATTAGGATATTCTGTCTGCAGAGTCTTTCCCTCAATCTCTGTTCACAGGCCCAGGTGAGGGGAAACAACTGAGTCCTAGTCCTTGATAAAACCTCTACAGGCAGGGTAAATTCAGGGTATCAGAGGGAACCACCAGCAGCAAGTTGTGTAAATTGAAGAAAAACATTTTTTAAGGCTGTTGTCCATCACTGCGACAAACTTAAATTACAAATAGGGGCATGTATTCAGCCCTCAGATTGCCTTTGTTCTACCAGGCAACCTTTATTAAAGGTAAATAACTGCTGGTGAATGTTCTCTCACAGGTTTAAGGGGTTTCTGTCTGGACAGATTGTTACGGTGTGTTTGTAGTTCTGGGAATGGCTGAGGTAATGGGTTTCACACAAAAACATGAAGATTGCTCTGTGTTCTGAGATTTTGTTCTGGTTTTGTTAAATGCTTTAGTGAATAGGAGAAAAACTTGATTTAAAAACATGGAAAAACCTTTCTCCCTTAAGATATCCCTTCTTCTAGTAAATATCTCACATAAGTGCTCCTGTGGATTATTTTTGAATTGATTTTCTGTTAGATTGTCTGTTTAACTCTTTTACACCATTTGTCTAAATCAGTTAATTCAGCTGTTCAACTTCCAAGTTAACTTTTTAATGGTAGGAGATTTATCTTGAAGAAAATTCTTCCTTCCGGCTTTTAAAACACCTCTATGAATAAGACACACAAAAGAAATATTGCTATTAATTGTAACAGAATCTTGCTATTAATTGCAGGAAATGGGACATTGATACCAAATAGTACATTAGGTGTTGGGGCCCTTGAGGAACTGATGAATAGAATTATCTTTGAATTTCCCTCAGAGAAATGAATTCTTTATTAGTGCTGAATTGGTCAAAGTAATGGAATCCTAAAGATTTTAATGTAGTTCATTTTTGTGTAGATTTGTATGTATCACTTATTTCCACAGCTGATTCATTCTGAGTAGCTATCCTCTGAGATTGTCAGTGAACCACAGAAGTGGATAGTTGTGCTGATGTTTTATTATTTTAACCCATCTATTTTAATGGTTAGTCATTAGAAAAAATACTTTCTTCTGTTGCAAACATGATGTCCAGCTGTATTTTGGTGTTAAGAGAATTTACAAAATGTGTAAGAATTCTAAAATGAAGTGTTTTGTATACAAGCTCTCCAGTCTGGATCAGTATGGAGGTATAGCTGTAGATACAGAAAACAAAATACATATGTATGGCTGTATGTAAGTAGGTTTGTCACCAATGTTTTTTCTTGTACAGGAATGTTCTATTTAGTTTAAATGCAGTCGCCAAGGAAACACTTTACTGATGAAATATTCTGCAGCTTTAATATTCTGAACTGTTTTTATTCAGGGAGAAAAAATAAGTTGACTTTATTTGCTATTATGAGAAACAAACTTGAAAACTTCTGTTTTATTTTCCAGAATAAATTTTACATAGAAACCAAGTTAAACAGAGACTTAAAAGATGACCTTATAAAGCTGTTTACGGAACATGTTGCAGAAAAGCACATTTACAACCTAATGCGTAAGTAAAGCTGTTGAATTTTTGTTATAGTGGAAGCTTGGAGAGCCACAGTGCTTTCAGATACTGTGGAGATCCACAGCAAATAGGGATAAAATGCCAAATATTAGTGAACTTCAATACAAACTCCTTTGGGGCATGAGGAAATGTGACACACTTCAGCTTATTTACTTCAGAAATCTGATTTTGTATTAAGTAATGTTTTTCTTGAGATCTGGGAGATCAAATGTTTATTTCCCCTTGTGATTTGTAATTATGGCAGAATGAGTGTTTTATTGTTCTGTTGTTTATGCTGCTACTTTTCAACTTCATTATCAAAATATCGACAGGTGTCATGAAGAAGGTGGTGTGGTCAAAGAGCTGTGCTGCCTCTGGGGTTATTGTCACGATGTGCTCGAGTACTGCTGAGGGTGGTGAGCTGCAGAATGCTGCCAGCAGTTTCTCTCTTAGGTTAATGTGTTAATGCAAATACAAAGTGCTGCAAGTGATAGCCACAGGAGCACTGGAGGGGAAGTGTGACTCCTATGGTGAGCCACAGTGTTTGTGTGAAACCTGCCACCCCTGGGAGGGTTTGTGTGAGCACAGGGAGCTGCTGCTGGCCTGCTTGGCCCCTCAGAAGGGCAGCTAGCAAAGCTTTGGAGCACTGGGAGTGGAGTTCACTGCTCCTTTTGTCCTTGCTTGGGTAGCAGTGCCCTGCCCTGCCCTTTCCAGGCAGGGGGGAAAGGAGCTTTGCTCTTGTTTCAGGCTCACTGAGAGGTGACTTCCTGGGAGAAGGGTGGGTGACCAGGGTGGCCACAAGGTCAGGGAGCCTGGCACCCTACAGGGATGGGAGGGAGATCATCAGTCTGAAGTCTTGTTCTTGCCATCCTGAAAAGTGACACTAGGAGCAGATCACATCACCTTAAAAATAGCAGAACAATGAGAAATGCCCAGCCATGAACCTGATGTTTTATTTTGTGCTAAAGAGAATTACTGGTATGAAACATGATAAGATGATTACTGCAACAAGATTATGGAAAATTTGGCTGATAATTGCTTTAAAATGTTTGCATTTTTCAGGCAAAGAATTTTTTTTCCAGTAGCAAGGCAAAGGTGTAACAGTGGATAAACCTTTGACAAAGGTGATGTCAGATGTGCTGTTGCTAAGTAATTAACTTTCTGCAGTGATAATAGCAGAATCAAATAGAAATTGCAGGTGAACTGTTGAAAGGAAAAGACCTCTAGTGTTCTCTGTGTGTGTGTAATCAGAAATACTTTCCCAGCCCTGTTAAATGCAAAAAAAAAAAGAAAAATAAAGGTAAGCTGTCTGTGTTGCTGTATATGAAGTCTCTTGTTTAATGGGGAAGAGGTTCATTTCCTTGGGTTCATTTCAGTCTCACCATCAGCTTATTAAAGCTAAGTTATTTGGATTTTATCTCCCTCCTAAGTAAGATGATAATACTGACAGGCATGAACTCATAACTGTGATCTGATTTAATTCAGTCTTGGATAAGAGGATCTGTAAATTGAGTTAAGGTATACCTAAATAAAATTTAAAATTTGCTAACAGGTTCTTGGGAAGTAATTGAAGATACATTGCACATGATGTAGTACTGCAGATGTGCTGAAAAACTTCTAGTATTGTATTTTTTTCTGCCTTTCTCAGCTGTTTTTTCTAGCTTCCTGAAATTCAAACCAAAATAGATGAGTAGTACCTTGCTTTTTGGAAATGTAAGGGCTCTGTGAAAATAGAATGCAAGTCGGTGTTTGTTACTTGCTTTGCTTCTCAATGTCAGTGTGCAGTGCTCTTTGCTGATATTTGATACAGATTTGGTTCAGCAAAAAAATGTTTTTCTATTGTGAGAGAAAAAAGTACAGTTGTGAATGGGGATACTTTGGAAATTAAAGTAAAGGGAGTTGTGACTGGTATGGAGAAATGGAATCCCGGGGCTGTCTTTAAAAAGATGCTGCAACTACTACTTCAGTGAGAGGAAGCTTGCATTCCCTCTGTTTGAAAATAAAATCAAATTACAAAATTGGTTTAATCCATTTGTGATCTAGACTTGGAGGGTCAGAGTAACATCTGCTCTCTCTCCTGAAATTTGTTGCTATGTTTGTACAAAGTGGGTTTTGTTTATAGTACCTTGTCATTCTCAGAGCCTGGAAGCTGGCATTTCTATTTGAAGCTGTGTTCAGGAAGGACTGTAAGTACATTTCAGGTTCATTTGATTTTTGAAAAAGTTCCTGCTGCACTTCAGAAAGAGAAGGGGGAGAAGCCAGAGGGGCAGTGCAGCCCCAGTCTCTTCCTTGGCATTGGATCTCCCTCAGACTCCCCCAGGCTGAGTCCCCTCATTCCTGCTCTGGCTGCTGAGGGGCAGGAAGGTGCAAGATCAACGCCTGTCTCTGCTGGGGGCACTTCTCTGAGCACTTGGTTGCAAAAATTTGAGTGATCAAGGTGTCAATCCATTACTTGCAGAGGATATATTGCCTAAGTAAACATTACTTTGGCAAATTTTTCATGTAGCAATTTGGTTCCATTTGGGGTTTGATAGATGATTTTTTTTTCTTTTAAAAAAACACTTGACTATCTGGAGGACTTCTCATGAATTAAAGTAAATACATAATAAAACCCACAATACACAGATCCATGAACACAGCTGTTTGTGAAACACTTTTACACTCACACATTTATCAAGTCAGTGCTCTTCAAATTAAAGTGGGTACATTTGAACTAAGTGACTATAACCTTATTATTTTCTTTACAAAGCCAAAGCTGGCTCTTGCTGATAAGACTGCTGCATTCAATGGCTTGGGAGAAGTTGCTGTGTGCAGAACTGCTTAACTGAATGTAACAAGCAAAGATACAGCATCTTATTTACAGGCAGCTTCAGAAATGAGTGTGGGAGGGGGAGAAGGTGCAGATAATATCCCCATGTCACTAGGGAAGGGGTGGTGGAGGACGTTGTTTTTGTTCCTGCTACAGTCCTGCATGAGGTGACTTGTAAGCAGAAAAGCTCAGAAATAGATTTATTTTCTCCTTATGCAGCCAGTGTCTCTTCTGATGGTCCTGCAGTGTAATGTCTGTGCCCTGGAAACATCTTGCCTGGTTTTTTTTGTCTAGAAAAATGGCAATTACTGTGAAAGTGAATAGCAGCTCCTGAAACTCTCTACTTCTGGTACTTCCAGTAGGTAAAATTCAATGGCAGAGTATTTGCAAATAACTGCTGCCCTTCTCCTTTTGGATATTGGCAGCTTAGTGCCCAAACCAAGCTTGCTTTTGAATCTAACAAAAGAGGAAAAGCCATTAAGAGCATAGTGTTGTGTCTCCTGGGTGGAGAGATCACTTGGGTTTAAATTACAAGAGTTTGCAAGTATTCCTCTTCTCTTCCTGAAAACTGAAGAAAGGAAGGTGAATGCTAGACTGTAATCCTGCTCTGGGAGGTCGATGGTGTTCCCATACTAAAGAAGAGACAGCAGAAAGTTAAGCTGGTCACTGAGGTGAAATCTGTTTTAGAGGACAGTCTTCCTCTCCTGCCTTCTAATTCTTTGCTGTAGTACTTCAGCCATTTATATCTGTGTGTGTAGGGCTGTTTCTTGCCTTACACATTCCTGTTTTGAGTTCAAGAAGTGTTTTTTACTCTTGAAAGAGCAATGTGCTGGTACAGATCATTCAGTACAAGTTGGTTCTTCCCAAAAAAAAACCATCTGCCTGCACTTCTGTGTAATAGTTATTCAACTGGGTAGTCAGGTGAACTTTATCAGAGGGAAAATAGCTTTGTGGAGCACTTCTGATTTTGTTCTTGTTGGCTGGGGTAATTACAGAATTAGCCACCAAAGCCTGAGCACACAGAGTGGTTACTGTGTGTGGTTTCTAAAGGTGCGTGGGCAGTAGCAGAATGTAAGTCTTTATGTCAGTGCCTGTGTGAGTTCAGAGCTAAAACCCAGTGTAAAAATACATCACATATGTTTGCCAAAGTAGTTTTTCTCATGGTCTCCAAGAAAAAGTTCTTTGGAAAAAGTCAGGAGGAGGGAGACCACTCACAGCCTACTTCATTGTGTTTTCGGTTTGTCGTTAGTTACAGAGGAAGTCTTTTCTCTGAAGATTTTTACATATGACAGCTTTGTTTCTTTCTTGTTAGGTCACTTGGAGTCAGATGAGGGGAAGAGATCTTGTGTATCCATTTTCTTTTTTTTTTTTTTTTTTTTTTTTGTTTTGTTGGAGGTGTATTAAAGTTCAATAGAAGGGCTGTTTATGTTGAAAAAGGTTTTTCCTTTATAAAAACAGGAAAGATACTTCCACTGCATTGCTGCTTTCTAAAAAGTACCAGAAAAGTTAACTCGAATGTTATCAGCTCTTTAACAATAAAATTGTCCAGCTTTTTGATTCAGCAGGTAGTAATGCAATGCAAAATTATAGAGAATGGATCTATTTATATCTGCTAGGGGCTGATGAATGCAGCAGGGAGGATGTTGCCTGAGCAGGGATTCTCCTGTTGCTGTGCAGTGCCTCAGTAGGGGTGTTTGTTGCTCTGTGGGCACCCAGCCCTGTGTATTTAGCAGCTGTGTTTTGCTGTGCTGACCTCCCAAAGCCTGTTGATGTCAGTGAAGCAAAGGATCCTCCTCATCTCTTCAGCTGTGTGCTGCTTTGACAGAATGCCTTTCATTAATAAGTGCCATGTCCAGCTTTTGTTTGTGAATACAGAAGTCTGTTTGAGAGGAGCAGTGCAAAAGTGTGACAGAAGGACTGTGATTGATGCCAAGTTCATGGCCTGACTCTACAGCTACAACAGAGACCACAGGGTTTGTTTTGATGTGTGCTGGGCTTTTTAATTCATTCCCCTTGCCTCACCCTTTGGCACAGATAGACAAGAAAAAGATGGATTGAATTGACATTCACCCTGTTTGAGGTGGCATTTCTTCCCTCCCCCTCAATTTTGACATCTGTCTCAAACAATCTGCACGAGAAGCAACCTGATACTGCCTTGATGCACAAACTGCAGATAAAATGCCTGACAAGGGGAGAA